AATAATCTTTACTTATTTTTTTAAAATAATTTTTACATTTTTAATAATACAATAAAATCACATATTTTCAAAAATAAACTATTCATGTTTATAAATATAATGATAATGATAATTTTGAAGTCAAGTTCAACTGTAAACTATAACTTAAATTCGGACACTGACTCCACAGTAAAGTGCTCATAAAACATTTTCTTTACTTTTACTGTGAAAAACTGTCAATTTTCAAGAAATACATTTCGATTTATAACCTTTATAATCTGTGTTTATAAAATAAAAAATTTGACATTTGACGGTGACACACAGATTCCCCTATTGTTTTATAGATGTCGCTCTGTACAAATATTTAATTTAAATCATTTTTAGATAAAAAGTAGAAAAAGTACAGTATGCAACTCGTTTATAAACTTTTCTAGAAACTCATTTAGTTAATCACTCGCCTACTATTAAGTGAATTAATCCGAAATAAAAACACTTTATTTTCGTTCGTAATAAAACGCGCAAATCAATAAAAAATGCAATCAACCAATCAAAAGCAATTAATTTTACCTAAAACAGCACTTGCGAGACATCTAATTGCAAATGCTATGCGGTTAAAACAAATTATCAATATATAATTAAATATTAATTTAAACCACTAGTATTTTTAATTAAAAATTAATTAAACTCATGTATGAATTAATATTAATATTCTGGTTTATTTTATTATAAGTTGTTTTTGTGTGTTCTGTTAATAAAACATTTCCGCACATTTTTATTTAAAACAGTTAAATTGTATTTATTTGACATTTGTATGCCACGCCGTTTTAGCATTTATATAAATAATAATAGTTTGAAGATTAGTTTAGCACATTAATGAAGTTTTAACAGAAATTTACAAAGGTATATTTTTTTAAATCAAAACAATTGTCAAAAAATTATTTTAGTATTGCTTCATTCAAAAGCTTCTGATCTTCACTGATACAACCAGCGTTGTTAGTATTTAAGCTTAAATTCTCCTCACCACATAGGCCTTTAGGATTTTAGTTATTAAAACATGCATTTATTGTTTATTGTTGTTAAGTATTGGCATCGTTGAAAACAAGAAAATTGACTGAAAAAAAAGTTTACAAAAACAATAATTTAATAAAATAAGACATTTATTGTTTAATATCAACAAAAGCGCATGTTTTTTTTTTTATACCAACACTAATAAACTAACATAAATATGATTTAACATAAAATTTGTATGACATATTTTAATTTATACCTTATAAGGTATACCTTCAAAAACATTAAACAAATTTCAGGGACACCCTGTATATTGCATTGATAGATTAGAATATTCTATAGCAATAAATGGATACAAAAAAATATCGTATTTTGTTAACTAATTAGCAATTAGTATGTAGTAAGTATTACGAAGTAAAAAAAATGTTGGACTTTAATGATAATTATGTTGTTTGTGCCCATTTTAATTACCATTAAAATAACGAAATGTAATAAAAAAGGTTAATTAATTAATTTCAGTTCAAGTAATACAAAATTGTTACCCTTTTTATTAATAAAATTGAAAACCATTTTTATAACTAAACCATTACATAAATGATGGGGTTCTGAAAGTGGTTTTTGTTTCTCATATCCAAAGAATGCCTTTTTGCGTTTACAGAATGTTTAGATTGATTCAGTTTTTTTTTTAATTTCGATTTTAAGTTTTATTAATTTTGGAACCCGAAAAACCGTTATTTATTAATTTAAACCAAAACCAAAAAAAATGATAGGGTTCTGAAAGTGGTTTTCGTTTCTCCTATCCAAAGAATGCCTTTTTGAGTTTACAGAATGTTTAGTTTGATTCAGGTTTTTTTTTAATTTCGATTTTAAGTTTTATTAATTTTGGAACCCGAAAAACCGTTATTTATTAATTTAAACCAAAACCAAAATAAATGATGGGGTTCTGAAAGTGGTTTTCGTTTCTCCTATCCAAAGAATGCCTTTTTGCGTTTATAGAATGTTTAGATTGATTCAGTTTTTTTTTTAATTTCGATTTTAAGTTTTATTAATTTTGGAATCCGAAAAACCGTTATTTATTAATTTAAACCCAAACCAAAAAAAATGATGGGGTTCTGAAAGTGGTTTTCGTTTCTCATATCCAAAGAATGCCTTTTTGCGTTTACAGAATGTTTAGTTTGATTCAGGTTTTTTTTTAATTTCGATTTTAAGTTTTATTAATTTTGGAACCCGAAAAACCGTTATTTATTAATTTAAACCAAAACCAAAAAAAATGATGGGGTTCTGAAAGTGGTTTTCGTTTCTCCTATCCAAAGAATGCCTTTTTGCGAACAAATATTAAAAATGGGTGTAAACATGTCACTAAAAGTACATTTGCTCCATGCACATCTTGACCTGTTCGAAAATCAGCTGTCCACCGAATCAGAAGAGCATCAAACAATAATGGAAATGAAAAATCGTTAAAGAGGAAAGAGGTTTGATTCGATGTTGGCAGATTTTTGTTAATCTATGGCAATGGAAATTTTGGCATAATATTATAAATAAAATTTGTTATATCTTTTATGTGTATTCATTCTATTTGTTAAAAAGAATATGTTTTTAATAATTAATATAATAATAATAATTACCATAATTATTATTATAGTAGAAGCGAAAGAACTAAGAAATTAACTACAACATATTAAATCCAGAAACAGGTTCAATTTAAAAAAAATTGCATTTTTTTGTTCTAATTATTTTTTTATTTAATATGTTTTTTCTTTATTTGATTTTTATTACTTTATAAAACAATATAAAAACCAATAATTATCTTTTGTACTATTTATTTATTATTTTACGATATTTCGGGATCCAGAATTACTAAAACTTTAAATTGATATTAAAAAAAACCAGAATCAATCTAAACATTCTGTAAACGCTATAATTCATGATTTTGATTATAGAATTTTGTATGGCTATGACTAGGTAGTACCTAGTAGGTACATATATTATATTACACTTATGTGTGGAGTTTTGACGACGGCAAAGTTTAATTGATAGACCGATTGAAGATTATGAATAACATATTATTTTAAATAAAACCTTAAAAATATACTTTGTTAACTATAGTTACATATATCATAGTCATATACATTAGGGTGTCCCTTATTTTTATTTTTTTTACGCATACCCTCTAATTATATTTATTACGTGTTTATATACTTCCAGTAAAAATTTCAGCTCATTCTATAAACGGGAACCCGTGCCGACTTGCATCTGAACCCTCCGTTAGCCAACGTTAGGCGCGCGGTATTTTGTAACACGGTTGGTCGCGAGGTCTTCGATCGTAAGTCATTTTGTGTTTGTTATTATGTGACCCTTATATTATAAATTATTGAAAAATGTTAAAATATAGTTTTATTTATGTGTATACTTTGATAAAAATGTATATTTTCAAAGGTGGCTAGTTACCCGGAAGGGTCTGGTGAAGGCCGTAAACTCTGAAATTGATAAACTTAATGGGTTTTACTCTAAATAACTAAAAGAGTCTATTGTGAGAGATGACTACCGAAAACTTATTGAACCGTCTGAAATATTTTTGGGAGGACATCAAGAAAAGAAATGCTTATAAAAAGCTGAAATATAATATAATAGATAATTATCTAGGTATTAATTATAATTAAAAAAATTACTATTTAATAAATAATAAGGATTATAAAATAAAACCAATATTTGTCTTATTTTTTAAATACGTTCGAAGAATTTTAAATTTTAGACCATGTTCAACTTATTTTTTCTTTTAAATTTTTAAATTACGTACTTGCTCTTCAAAGTAGGTTTTGGATAAAGGGCTTTATAAGATAGAGATGACTTTTTTCTGAGGAAATTTACACTCTATTTATTTGTATAATATTAATATATAATTATAATATACCTAATTAATTAATATTTTACAAGCACAAACAATTAAATAAAATTTCCACCAACTTCAACAAAAATTCTTTGTCCTTTTCAGAGGCTTTAAGCCGTAATTTTCATTTATCATACATTCTAATGCAAATTTAGGTACCTACTTTAGTTTTATATTGCCGCAATCCTCTTCAAAACCAAGTTTTTGTTAATAATAAGGTTTAGTCAGTTATAAATGTATTTTTCTACTCCCACCTTTAAAACGCCCTTTATCGTACATGTTTCCATGACGGTGACAGTGACCTTTTAAATACACATTGACAAGTTATGGCTTTTTGGCTCTTTAGTCAACCGGTTTTTAGTCACGGGCTGAAGTTAGTTGACAGTTGTCAAATGTCATACAATCGTTAAAAGAAATTGCTTTTCTTGTAATAATACTAAATGAAAATATACTAGAAAAAAACGGTTTTTTTCTTTTTTTTTCAAATCCGCTACAATAAAGCATATTCTGTCAATAAATAACATCAATATTAAAAAATGAAGTATTTTTTCAAAATGAAAATTTGAGTAAAATATATATAAATAATAAAGTGAAATGTAGAATATATTACATTTTTCATTATTGAAAATTTTGACTTTTGAGACTAAAAAATCTGATTTCTTATTATTTGGTAGTTTCCACATAAGAAACCAATAATAATGTAAAACTTCTACACTAATGGAAAAAATTAAAGGATATAAAAATAAATTTTTAGCAATTTTTCGGATAGCTTGAAGCTTGAAGTTTCTAGTTTTGGGATTTTTAGATGAAAAAATTTTCAAAGCAACGTGCAACGAATACCGTAATAATAATGTTCTGACTTCACCACCATATGGACCGGAACAAGTTGTTCATTCAGTTTCAATTTGCTTTTTTTAGACTTTGATACGACCATTGTTCGCTGAGATATCGGACTTTGAATGGAAAAGGATCATTTAAAATTTGCTATGTTGCCAAATTGGTTCAAACTTAAATCAGTTGATATAAATAAATCAAAGTTTCTGCATACGGCCCTTAGTGTGAAAGTAGAAAAATATATAAAATCAATGAATTTCGCCGTATTAAAATAATTTTATTTTTATTTCAGACTTTTAAATTATACCATGAAATTTGAACTTGAGGTAAGTTATTTTTAGATTTTTCTTTTTTCTTTTTATTTAATTTCTGATTTGGCCAATATGTAAATAAACACTATTTATAATTTTTACTTAGTTAACGGAGATATAATTTATAAAGGGCCTCTATTAACTTGTTAACGCTACTTGTTAGTTTTCTATTTTATAAATTTTATGCAAAAAAATAAATACTATTAAATATAACCAATTTTTGTTATTTATTCAGATACTTTATCAAATAGGTACTTTTATGGCACGCCGTTTTATTTTTTAATGTCATGTCATAAAGCTAAATATTAATTCAAGTTGCTTTTTTAAAAATTGACTGAACATTTTAAAGTAAAATTTTTATGATGGCACACAATTTTAAGCACAGAATAAGAATTAAAGTAATTTTAATTCTGGAACTGAATGGCGTATTTTCTGACTAAAATTTTGGTTGTGATAATTTTAATAAGGCGCTACTTGGAGAAACACGCAGTCAAATTGAAATTATGTAAACCAAAATTTTAATTCATCGAATTTCTTAGCCAGTTAATTCAGGGTGCGCAACATTTATTTAATAAAAAGTAATTCTGAAATTATCATTATGTCGCAATTAATTTCTATTATTACTCGTCGACATAAAAAACAATTTACCTGTTAGAAATGTTAGAAATTAAAGTGATAAAGTTTCTTATTCGACACACAAATATTTTGCACGAAATATTTGTTTTAATATTGAAATGTTTTTAATATTACTTAAAATATTATTTGACTAATAAGAATTGAATACAATTTTATTTTTATTATTATTTTTAAAAATTTTAATATTTACTTTTAATACGAATTATTTTGTTGTTTAAAACACTTTGAAACAATTTTTATACGGGAATAAAGTTGTGGTATAGTTGTTATTAATTATTATGTTATTTAAATCTAGTAATACGAATTTTCATTTAAGCACCTTTCTGCCATATTTCTTTTAATCGGATAATTTTTTTAGATAATAAATTCAATGCTATTTGTATGTGACAAAATAATAATTGCTTATTTTTATTTTTTGGAATAAATATTATGTACCTCAAATTTTCTGACTGAAAAATTCGATGAATCTAAATGTTGGTTATCACTCGTAAACAGAATTTTAATTTGGCGCTACTGCCACCAAGCGAAATCACATAACGTCGAATGTACATGAGCTCGAAAATAAATTAGGCAACGGTGCATTCAAATTCAGTGCTGCCATTTTAGTTCACTTACCTGTTTTGCTTTCCTTAATTTTTTACCTAATTTATTAATTAATTTATTGAAATAAAAATAAAGAAAATCCTTTTTACTATGGAGTTGTGGTGTAATTGTAACACGATGCTGATTGCAATACTGTATTTATTTACAAATAAACTATTTACAATAAGATGGTAGCTGTTGTCTTCTATGATGTCGATTGTTGTGTTGTATGATGCAGACTGTGTTGTATGATGCAGACTGTGTCTTTGATGATGGTGTGCCTGGTTTTTATATGCAGAAACAGTAATACCCAAAAATACCAAAGCTTAAGCCAGGTAGGTTCTACAGTAAACGCTTGTTTACAAACTATAAACTTAAAATTTACAGGTAATAGTATTTACATAAGATATCTATTAAACAATTGTTGTGATTTAAATTTAATGTTGGGGAAGTTTGAAATTTAATGGTGAGCTTAAAATATTAAATTTCGTGTTTGCCTTGGTTGATACCTGAGTACGGGCGAAATTGCCGCTACATTACTAAAATATTGGTTTTTATTGACTAAAAGATAAAAAACTATACAATATTTTCAATCCACCATTAATAACATTCATGTTAAGTTTGCGGATTATTTTCAATTACGTCTTATATTCTTTTTCTATGCTTATTACTGTACAGGTAGTCGGCTCGGACAATTCTGTTAATTATATAAATATCTTCTTTTGCGAGAATTCCTATTGCATAGACTACTAACCAAATAATGAACCACAATTAAATTGTCTAAAATCCATATCTAAATTATTTCGGATAAAGTAAGGTTAGCCAGCAGGGCAGTCTTGTTGAAATGCACCCCTTACATAATTTAAAAATCATAATCATGTCGATTATTGATAGCATTGAAAATTTTGGACTGCACTGTTGCCTAATTTATTTTCGAGCTTATGCACCTTCGACGTTATGTGATTTCGCTTGGTGGCAAAAGTACGTAACACAACCGCACTATGCACTAGCGCAAAATTAAAATTCTGTTTACAAGTGATAACCAACATTTTAATTTATTGAATTTTTCATCGAGAAAATTCGCCTTGCGCTTACAGATTTAAATCTTGTCCAATTTTTATTCCAAAATAAATATTCTACTTTAACTTAATTTTAAATTATTTAAATATAAACACCTTTTTTTAATAGAAAAACAATATTCATACAATAAAAACTGAGGCTTAAAAATATAGATCACACCAGAATGATGTAAATATATGTATATGGAAACTTATCTGAAACACCAAAAAATAAATTGGTAGATTTTAATTTATAATTAAATTTATTTTAGTAATTTTTATAAACGTTTATATTTTCTAGGCAATTTTTAATTTTGGTAATTTTTGTTTCGAGTTAATTTTTTAATGTCATTAATAAGTAAAACGGCGTGCCATATACTTTAGTATAACTGATTTAAAATACTGTAACTCTTTGGTTACAGGTAGTAAAAACACATTGTTTTTAATTATTATAAAAATAATGGAATATCAATTAAAAAATAATAAAAATTTAAACTTTTAATATCGAAAATTTACTGCATCTCAAGTTGTCAATTTTGTATTATGTGAAAATAATTTTTTAATTTCTATATAATTAAGAACTTTAAGTGTCAGTGTTGGTGACACTTAATTTTGTTTTGCTTTGAGTAAATTTCGCTATTAATAATGCGCTTGCGACACGTGTAGATTTCTAAAATGAACTTTTTGTTATTTGCAACACTGCAAACAGTGAAATAAATACTCACTGATAATATTTTTATATACACGTATTTTTGGCACGATGTACTTGTTCTTGTTCATTTAACCAATACTTATTTGATTATTTAAACTAGTTAATCTTAAAATTAAATTTGAAAAATATATTTTGGGCGTAGGTACAGTTGTGAACACGGAATTTCTAAAGGCCGTATTACAGCCGGCAATTCTTCTTGCAGCAATTTTTCTTGCCATCAAGTTTTTAAGGCCGTATTGCATGTTGTTTTACAGTCAGCAATTGCAAGACAACTTGCTGTTTATTAGCGTGCTACCAACCGAAGAAAAATATACGATTTTGTAAACACCAAGTTTATTTGTTATTTAGTAGAGATATTAAAAAATTAATGAGTGAAATGGATACTAGAACTTTTAACACAATGCCAATCATAAAAAAAATAACCTTAAACTGTTTAAGTCAAACAGCGTCTCTCTAGGGAATTTGTAGTAGGGTTGGTAACATAAAAGTTACCAGATTTCACCCCAGAATTGCCGTAAAACGGCAATAAAAACCCATCCGGACCCATTTTCGGCAATTGCAAGAGATTCGTCGAAATGTATCTACCGCGCATGCCTACGGCAATTTTCATTGCAATTGCCGAAAGAATTGCCGGCTGTAATACGGCCTTAACGTCATAATTTGGTTTTCATTGTGTGATTCTGCAATCAGATACAATTGCTTTCGCTGCCAAAATGACAAGAATAGTGATAACCGGAAGTAAGGTTAGTTGTCCAAAAAGGTAGTTTAGATTTTGATTTGTTCAAAATTCCGGTAAAAATTGTTGCTAAGCTCACTTTACTAAACAAAATCTTATTATACTGGGTTTAAAATTAAAAAAATATAATTTTTTAATATTGGTAATTTATAAAATACCAAAAAAACTACTACATAATATACTATAGAATGTTTTGAGAACCGCTGGATTTTTTCTCAATTTATTAATTTCATTTTAATAGGCTTGCAATTACGAAACTTTTCTCTAATCAAACCGACCTTGTAGCTTCTTGAATAAAAAAGATACCCGTAGCTTTATACATATGTATAAAATTATTTTATGTTACCCATAATAGTATATTATGTATCAAGTTTGATAAACGCCATTTTATACACGAATTTAATTTAGGCACGCGCGAGCTTGCGAGCAAGTGCTTAAATTAATGAGTGTATAGAAAAGTTTATAAACTAGGTGCATACTATACTTTTTCTACAACAAATACTTGTTATTATCTTAAAATGATTTAAATCAAAAATTTGTATAGAGCGCCATCTATGAAACAATAGGGGAATCTGTGTGTCACCGTTAAATGTCAAATTTTTATAATTATAAACACAATTATAAAGGTTATAAATCGAAATGTATTTCTTGAAAATTGACAGTTTTTCACAGTGAAAGTAAAGAAAATGTTTTATGTACAATGTTCATATAAACTTTTCAAATATTGGCGTTGAGAAACTATTTAATACTTTTGTATTTTTGTATTGAGATAATAAAATAATTTTCACATTAACTATTATTTTACAAGAAAGGCAATTTATTTTAACGATTGTATGACATTTGACAACTGTCAACTAACTTAAAACTAACTTCAGCCCGTGACTAAAAACCTGTTGCCAACTTCAGCCCGTGACTAAAGCGCCATAAAGCCACAACTTGTCAATGTGTATTTAAAAGGTCACTTAGTGTCATGGAAACATGTACGATAAAGGGCGTTTTAAAGGTGGGAGTAGAAAAACACATATTATATATGTTTATGGGTAAACATACGAGTAAAATATGCATTTATATTTGAAAAATGTCAACAAGAAGAAACACTAATAAACGCAGCAAAATCAAGTATACAACCAAAATACTTTGTTTTATTTATTGACTGAATGCAATCTACTGAATTCACCAATAGGGTAGTAGTCGTCACAAACAGTGTTGTCAGGTCGTTTAAATCTTGTATGTACCGGATTTTATGTTTGCCTTATCAATTATATGTGCCTTCACCAGTGGCGTAGCTAGC